TATGTCTCTCCTTCTCTCTCTCTTTCAAATAAATAAATCTTTCTAAAAAATGAAATACTACAGAGATAACTTCCACTGTGGTTTTTGTGAAGTAACAGATTAGCTGCCCCACTACAAGTTACTGGAAAACTAGTCGGCATATAAGAAATGCTTTTCAGAAATTAGACAACAAACAGTACAGGGCTGATCCCTGAGGGGAGGGAAGCAAATGAGGAGAGTCTTGTGGTTGCTCCAGCTTCCTGCCTGGAGGGGTTTGCATAGACACAAGTGTGGGATCCACGCGGAGCAAGGCAGTCTAGCTGAGATAAAGAAACAGATATTGAAGTGAAGTCTGGGGAGGCTGGAATTTGTCAGGCAGAATTCCAGAGAGGAGGGAGGAAGCTGTGTAGGGAAAGAGCTGTGTACATCTACATGGAGACCTCCGTGAGTCTTCTCTGTATTCTCACAGAAGGAGCTCTGTGGACATTTGAGTTCCCACTCACCGGAGTAGAGGGCCATCATTTAATACTTTGGATATTCTGTAAAGACCCCAGAGAGGCTCTGCTTCAGAAGCAGGTGAAAATAACCCTAAGTAAAGAGTACTCTAGGGATGCGCCAGTGAAGGCTGAACACAAACACTGAAAGTATCAAGCTGGGACAGAAGTAAATGAACTGACTTTGAGACTTTTTAGAAGAAGACAACAAAATCCAGACATCCAACAATATACTTCACCATTTCCATGATCCAGTAAAAAATAACAGTTAAGATGTTGGAAAGTATGACCTGTAACCAGGAAAAAAATTTGTCAGTGTAAACAGAACCAGACAGACAGACATGGTGGAGTTTGCCAACAGGGACCTTTAAACAATCATGATGGATATCAAGAATATAAAGGAAAATGTGAACATATTGAGAAGTGAAATTGAAGAAATAAGAAGAAGCAAATAGGGGCCAGTGCTATGGTGTAGTAGGTAAAGCCGCTGCCACTGCCAACATTCCATATGGGTGCCAGTTTGAGTCCTGGCAATCCACTTCTGATCCAGCTCTCTGCTGTGGCCTGAGAAAGCAGTAGAGGATGGACCAAGTCCTTGGGCCCCTGCACCCACATGAGAGACCTGGAAGAATCTCCTGGCTCCTGGCTTCAGATTGGCGCAGCTCCAGCTGTTGTGGCCAATTGGGAAGTGAACCAGTGGATGGAAGATGGAAGTGTGTGTGTCTCTCTCTGCCTCTGCCTCTCTGTAACTCTTTCAAATAAATAAGTAAATCTTTAAAATAATAAAAAAGAACCAAATATAAATGTAACTGGAACCTTCTACCTACATATTTGATTTCAATAAACATTTTAAATAAAAAAGGAAAGTCTCAGAATTAAAGGGATAATGCTGGAAATAAAAATACAGTGTATGGACTTAATAGTAGATCAGAAATCATAGAAGAGAAGTTCACTGAACTTTTTTTTTTAAAAGATTTATGTATTTATTTAAAGTCAGAGTTACACAGAGAAAGGAGAGGCAGAGAGGAAGAGAGAGGTCTTCCATCTGCTGGTTCACTCCCCAGTTGGCTGCAACGGCTGGAGCTGCACCAATCCGAAGCCAGGAGCCAGGAGCTTCTTCTAGGCCTCCCATACAGGTGCCAGGGCCCAAGGACTTGGGCCATCTTCTACTGCTTTCCCAGGCCATACAGAGAGCTGGATCAAAAATGGAGCAACCAAGCCGGCGCCGTGGCTCAATAGGCTAATCCTCCACCTTGCGGCGCCGGCACACCGGGTTCTAGTCCCGGTTGGGGCGCCGGATTCTGTCCCGGTTGCCCCTCTTCCAGGCCAGCTCTCTGCTATGGCCAGGGAGTGCAGTGGAGGATGGCCCAGGTGCTTGGGCCCTGCACCCCATGGGAGACCAGGAAAAGCACCTGGCTCCTGGCTCCTGCCAGGATCAGCGCGGTGCGCCGGCTGCAGCGGCGGCCATTGGAGGGTGAACCAGCGGCAAAAGGAAGACCTTTCTCTCTCTCTGTCTCTCTCTCTCTCACTGACCACTCTGCCTGTCAAAAAAAAAAAAAAAAAAAAAAAAAAAAAAAAAAAAAAAAATGGAGCAACCGGGTCTCAAATTGGTGTGCAGTGCATATGGGATGCCAGCGCTTCAGGCCAGGGCATTAACCTGCTGAGCCACAGCGCTGGCCCTGGTTCACTGAACTTAAAAGACATATCAATACAAGCTATCTAAAAAGAATTATAGAGAGGAAAAACCTAGCTGGAAAATGAAAGAGGGGTAGGTGCTGTGGTACAGTGGGCTAAGCCACTGCTAGGGATGCGCGCACTCTATTTTGGAATGCCTGGTTTGAGTCCTGGCTTCTCTGTTTTCTGATCTAGCTCCCTGCTAATACACTTGGGAAGCAACAAATGATGACTCAAGTACTTGGGTCGCTGCAGCCTGGATGGAATTCCTGGCTCCTGGCTTTGGCGTGGCCCAGCTGTAGCTGTTGCAAGCATCTGGGAAAGTGAACCAGCAGATGAAAGATACCTCCCCCCATCACTCTGCCTTTTTTTTTTTTTTTTTTTTTTGACAGGCAGAGTGGACAGTGAGAGAGAGAGACAGAGAGAAAGGACTTCCTTTTGCCGTTGGTTCACTCTCCAATGGCTGCCGTGGCCGGCGCGCTGCAGCCGGCGCACTGCGCTGATCCGATGGCAGGAGCCAGGAGCCAGGTGCTTTTCCTGGTCTCCCATGGGGTGCAGGGCCCAAGCACCTGGGCCATCCTCCACTGCACTCCCTGGCCACAGCAGAGGGCTGGCCTGGAAGAGGGGCAACCGGGACAGAATCCGGCGCCCCGACCGGGACTAGAACCCGGTGTGCCGGCGCCGCAAGGCAGAGGATTAGCCTAGTGAGCCACGGCGCCGGCCCACTCTGCCTTTCAAATAAGTAAATAGAAGAAACAGTAAAACGATTTTTAAAAAATGAGCAGAGCCTCAGTGACCTGTGGGGCAATGCCAGGCAGTCTAAATGAGAGAGAACAGATATTTAAGGAAATAATTTTTCCCAGATTTCCACATAAACTTTTATAAATTTGATAAAAGCCATAAACCTACAGAGGCCTAACAGATTGAAGTCAATATAAACACACACATAAAAAAGCCATACCAGGGCACATCAAAATGGAATTGCTGAAACCAGTGATAAAGAAAGTGTATTAAAAGCAGCTAGAGGGAAAAATAATATATTCTGGGGAACAAAGATAAGAAAACCCGTGACTTCGTGAAAACAAGGCAAAGCAGAGGAAAATGGAATGGCAACTAGAAATGCTGCAAGAACTCATTTGCTGAGAAGTTTCAGAAGCAGTGGCAATCCCGGACCAGTGAACACCCCAGTGCTCTGATTCACTCTGCCAGTAATGGAGACCAACAGGGTAGGATCCACACAGGACGAAGCAGGAGCATCTTACTGGGCCAGGAAGCCAACGGGGCCCACTGGCTGGGTCAGTATTTCAAGATAAACAAATGGGAGATTAATAAATGCAGACAAGATGATAAAGACAGAAAAATCAACACTGCAACCACTAATGAAATAATAAACTGGGCCAAGAATCATGCTAAAAGCAGTAGGAGAAAAGCTGATGGAAAACTTACAATGGAGAGATGATGGTAACATCGGAATCCACGGATCAATATTGTTATTCCATCCCATTATGTGCCTCCGTTTTTATTTACAAACACATTCTATTATCTGTAACAAATCCTTGCCATTTCTCAAAAACAAAGCAAAAGTGAAAGCTTTAATCGGGAGTCTAGATCTAACCACAGAGGATAGAGGAACAAGCTAAACACTGCACAGGAAACAGCTCCAGAAAGTTGGGTGTTCTGTAAGACAACCTGGTCTCTTCACAGATGACTTGAAAGAAACACAGGAAAGGAGGCACTGTTAGGAATTAGAGACAGAAACCTAACCATCAAATACAAGCATGAAAGAAACAGCAGTCAGATGCGAAGTGGGGACCTTGTTTGGATTGATAGCCAGTGTAAAAGCACATTTTTAAAATTTGAGGAGATTTTCAAATACACTAGGATATGAAACATTTTTATCAGGTTTTTTTCCTCCATGATAAAGGTGTTGAGGGCTTGTGAAGTGTGTTCATTATCTGACAGACCTCCAGGATCAGGTGTTCCCAGGGGAAGCAATTGCCTGGGCTTTGCTTTAACCACCTGCATGAAATATTTGGGGAAGGAAGAATAGATTTAACAAGATAGACAAAGTGTTGATATTTGTTCACTCTTGGTGATAGACACATGAGGGTAGTCTTAGAACACTCTATTTTGTGCAAGTTTTAGCATTTCTATAGTGGAAAGTTAAAACAAAAAGACCAGGTAGTTACGGATCTTCCATGTATCTATGAGGGAGAGCCTTACTCAGAATATATACAAAAGTACTTCAGAAAGCTTGTGGAAAATGGAATTCAAAGATAAGTTCAGTACAAAAATTTGAAATCGATGCCTATTTTTTTCTTAGTATTAATTTTTCATGAACTTCTGAGGACCCCTTGTATGGTGTTGTCTTACAATTCGATATAACTTTAATGAGTTTGGCTCAAGTACTGGTTTTATAGAAGAAAACAGACAGATGCTAAGGGCAGAATCTGTATAGAAATCAAAATATTTAACTGGGAACATGTGGTACCACTAAAAACGCTGAACTGTCGACAAGAGCTGTAAAAGCATGGCATCGGGGTCAGTTAGTAATATCAGATGGGTCCACTGTGCTGGAGGGTGTCCCCTAGAACATGCGTCCTCAGAGCAGGCGAGCCAGCTTCCCTGGTGACTCCCCGGGGAGGGCTGCAGTGCCGGTCAGCCAGCACTGTCTCCTGAGGACAGATTCCCCATGGTCTACACATCCCCTTGTGCATTGTGGGTTTTTTTTTTAATTGTTTTCTTTATCATGAATTATGTTTTCTTTTTTGTTTGCCCATCTTTAACCATGTTCATTTCTCCCTGTGTGTGTGTCCGTGTCCCGCTTGCTGTCTTTGGCTCCGTTGTTCCCAGGTCACAGTGCAGCCAGGGTGTAGCCGGTGCCTTGGCCGATGAGCATGCGCTGATAGCCTCCTATGTGGCCCGTCTGCAGCACTGTGCACGGTCAGTGGTCGAGCTGCAGCAGCAGACGGGCAGCCAGGGGTGACCAGAAGGGGGGGAGCTGCGTGGCCGCATTCCGGGCTGAAACAGCCCTGCGTGTGGGGGTTTCCTCGAGCAGCGACCAGCTGTGTTTGCAGTCCAAGTTGTGCTGCAGCATTAGCTTCTGCAGGAGAAGACTTGCCACGCCCGGTGTTTATCTAAACAGTCAGGAGATTCTCCTTGAACGTGAGGTTGGCTTCCTCAGATTACGCTGAGTGTCTGAGCCTCAGATCTGTAATGCCCCAGAAGGCACATTCACTTGGACTTAAATGGTGAAGTCTTTCGATTCCCGTTCAGAGTTCAGGGCTGACCAACCCCCAGATACCTTGCTTTCTCTAATCCAGAGTCTTTATATTATAATGGTGCCACCTACCCATCCCGCTGAAAACGGGTCATGAATCACTACTAATACAAACATGACTGATGCTTCAGTGGGCTGGGGTGGAAAAAAATGCTTGAAAAATGCAAACTACAGCGAAGTTCATCCTTTTTTAAAAAAAACAGCTCATAAATAGTGACGTGCACACGCTCTGCCCGTGGCGTCAGGCCGGCTCCCCGCCCCATTCTCAAGGAGGTTGACAAGTCAGCTTGAAGTGAGCTAAGATCGCCCCTCCCTTCTTCGTAATAGCGACGTGGTGGAGTCCTGCCGTGCGCAGCCTGCAAAGCCCCATCTGAGGCCCTTGCTCTGAGAGGAGCCTTCGTGCAGAAACCATCCCTACAGCAGGGACTGCAGCCTCAGGGTCTGACCTGAGTTTTGCCCGTTGCCTGCCGTGGCTCCCTGGGAAGGTCACTGACCTCACTGCTGTTCCCCGTGGTAGCAGAGGCGTGAATTATAATGAATAGGAAGATAGACCTCTGAAAAGAACTGCTTTTAACGTTATACTTCATCCCACTTCTCATAGTTTTTCCAGTATCACTAAAAGCATCAGTATCCTCGGACACTCACTTGTCTCTGGAGCCTGGGAGAAGCCGTAGTCCCCTGGTACAGAGTCTCCTCGTCCCGCAGATGAGTTCTGTGCTCTGTCCCAGCCTCCTGGTCTTGAGGAGAGACCTCCGGCAGGGCAGGGGGCTTATTGTCTGTGAGAGCGGCTGTCCAGGGGACAAGGAGCCTCCTTAGTGCAAGGAACAGTGGAGTGCTTGGCTAGCACTGTTGCCTAGTGTTTCAGCCAGCGCAGGGCCTCTGGTTTAGCCAGTGTCCCCAATGGGTTTAGCCAGTGTCCCCAGGTCTCAGCCAGCACCGGGGCTCTGGTAGGCTTAGCCAACGTCCCCAGATCTCCTGGCTTAGGACCTAGGCTCTTGAGCAAGCATTGGTGGCCACAGGCCCTGAGAGCGCGCGGTGAGTGGGTGAGTACCACGTCTCCTCTGCTTTATAGTCTCGGAACGGAGCCTCCTACTTCCTCGAAGAAGTCAGAAATTTCCTGGCTAATTCTGAAAATGAAAGTCAACTCAAACAGAGAATCAAGAATCTTTCTAACTGTCCTCAAGTAATTTTCCTTGACCTTAAAACCTCTCACCAACACAAGTTTCTAATTCCTGGCTAGAAAGCAGAGCCAATCGGCGTAGCCGTGTCATCCACGTGTGTGTGTAGGACAGATAAGAGCAGGCTTCCTAAGCACATGACCTGTGTTGGAGAAAAAAAAAAACTTTTTAAAAATTTTCTAATATTTGAGAAGCAGACAGGAGGAGAAAGACAGATATACAGAGAGATTCTGTCTGCTGGTTCCCTCCCCAAATGCCCACAGTGGCTGGGACTAGGCTGGGCTGGGCTGGGCTGAAGCCAGGAACCAGGAGCTCAGTCAGGGTCTCCCACATGGGTGGCAGGCACCTAATCACTCAAGCTCCACCACTGCCCCCAGGGTCTGCATTAGCAGGAAATTGGACTCAGGAGCTAGAACTAGATACCGAAACCAGGCACTCCGATAGGGGACACAGGAGACAACCTGCTAGGCCAGATGCCTGCTCCTTCTACCAATTTTAAAGAGAATCATACAGCCACAATTCCTCCTAATCTGGAACTACCCTGCTGTGTGTAGATAGCAGCTGACAAAATACTGAAGTAAGCAAGTCAGCTGCTTCCTAAACGATCCAGATCTCCCGATTGGCACCGCGTATACACAGAGCTAGCCTGGACCTTCACCCAGGACCTAACATCCCTTCTGGGTGAGTCTTTAAATAAGGATGATGGACCAAGCCAACTCGGCGTGGAGTGCAGTTACAGCTGCAGGTGGGGAAGGTGCAGTAAGGGCAGCCTTCCCCATGGAACCCGCCAGCTCTGTGTCAGGTCTGACCTGGCCAGGGCTCCCCGCCTTCGGCTCACATTCTCTCAACGCTCTGTCTTCATGCTTTCGTTTTCCCTTGCTCTTCCTGAGTTTAACATCTGGGTCTAAAAAGTCCTGAGTTTTTCCAAGTACTTGGTTGGAAATCCTGGTGTCCCGTCTTGCCTTAGCAGTGCGGTGTCCCCTTTGGTGGGAGCCGCGGGGGTGTTGAGGAGGGTGCCTGGCCTCACTGGTTCTCTCAGCCCCCTGTTATCTTAGAAGATCATTATCAGGCCTCCGTTTCTTTTGTTAGCATTTCTTTCTCATTTTTTTTTTATTTTAAACAAGATTTTCTTGCATCTGTTCCCCCCCAAGAATAGAACAAGAGTGGGAGCAAAAAGTGAGAGACACCCCTGTTGAATTTTTGTGTCTTTGGCAGCGTCCTGGACAGTCCTAGCCGACTGGACGAGGAGCACCGGCTGATAGCGCGCTACGCTGCCCGGCTGGCTGCAGAGGCAGGAAACACGGTGAGTGGACAAAGGGGCCATGAGCGGCAGACATCAGCGTTACTCTGATACACAGTGCGGGGAATAGTGATGCGAAACTCGGGGAGAAGGTACCTGAAGGTCAGGAGGAGGAGGCGAGGACAGAAATTGAAAGAGCCTTTAATTTTATCTTCAGTGTTCACTTTCTTTAAAAAAAAAAATGAATCAGTAAGATTAAAAAAAAAGAGCCAGAATTTAGTTCTGTAAAAAAGATCAACAGAATTAATAAGCCACTAACATACTGAACAAGAAAAGTAGAAAAAAATACAAATTACCAATATCTGGAACGAAAGGAGGGACGTCACTGTGTATCCTGCCAGTGATAAGGAATGATATGAGTGATTAGGAACATTTTGCCAATAAGTTTGACAACTTACATAAAACAGACAAATTTCTTGAAAGACACAAATTAACAAAGCTGACACAAGAAAAATTAGAAAATCAAATAGTTCTATGTCTCTTAAAGAAATTGCATTAATAATGAATTTCCCACAAAGAAAACTTCAAGCCAGACGGCTTAACTGTTAGATATTATCATGCTTAAGGAAGTAATAATATCAGCCCAGTTTTCACTCTTTCAGAAAATAAAACAATGAATACTTTCCAAGTCATTTGATCAGGACATTATAACCTGATATCAAGACAATACAAGGCTACTACAGAAAAAAATCGCTGGCTAAATTCTTTTGTAAACATAGATGCAAACATTTATAACAATATATGTAGCAAATTGATTCCAACAGTATGTAAAAGGATAATACTCCCTAATCGTGTGAGATTTATCCCAAGAATGCAAATCCGTTGAACACATAAAAGTAGACCAATGTAATTCATCATATTAACAGTTTAAAGGAAAAAACGATCATTTTAAAAGATTCAGAAAAAGCAATTGACAAAATAGAACACCACGTAGGGAATAACTTTCCCATAGACCAGGAAGAGAGGGAAGTGTCTTCACGCTGTGAAAGAGCAAAACTACAGCTAATGTCACACTTCAAGGTTAGATTTGGGAGTGTTTCCCTGTGATATTGGGAATAAAACAAAGAAGGCCACTTTTACCACCTCTGTTCAGAATTGTACCAGAGGACTTAGCCAGTGCAACATGACGACAGAAGATGATAGATATTGGAAAGGAAGATATAAAGTCTTTATTGGAAAATGAGATGATGGATATAGAAAGTCATAAGGAAGGGCTGGCTCCATGGCTCACTTGGTTAATCCTCCGACTGCAGCACCAGCATCCCATATGGGCACCAGGTTCTAGTCCCGGTTGCTCCTCTTCCAGTCTAGCTCTCTGCTGTGGCCCGGGAGGGCAGTGGAGGATGGCCCAAGTCCTTGGGCCCCTGCACCCACATGGGAGACCAGGAAGTAGCACCTGGCTCCTGGCTTCGGATCAGCGCAGCGCCGGCCGTGGCAGCCATTTGGGGAGTGAACCAACGAAAGGAAGACCTTTCTCTCTGTCTCTCTTTCTCACTGTCTATAACTCTACCTGTCAAAAAAAAAAAAAAAAGTCATAAGGAATCTGCAAAAATAATACTAGAACAAGTAAGTAAATGTATAGTGGTATTGAAAGATATCAAGTACGTAAATATAAAAACTAATGGCATATCTAACTACTAGCAACAAAGGATTAGAAAATGAAATAAAAGGCCGGCGCCGCGGCTCACTAGGCTAATCCTCCGCCTAGCGGCGCCGGCACACCGGGTTCTAGTCCCGGTCGGGGCGCCGGATTCTGTCCCGGTTGCCCCTCTTCCAGGCCAGCCCTCTGCTGTGGCCAGGGAGTGCAGTGGAGGATGGCCCAGGTGCTTGGGCCCTGCACCCCATGGGAGACCAGGAAAAGCACCTGGCTCCTGGCTCCTGCCATCGGATCAGCGCGGTGCGCCGGCCGCAGCGCGCCGGCCACGGCGGCCATTGGAGGGTGAACCAACGGCAAAAGGAAGACCTTTCTCTCTGTCTCTCTCTCTCACTGTCCACTCTGCCTGTAAAAAAAAAAAAAAAAAAAAAAAAAAGAAAATCTCTGTTTACCATAGCATTAAAAGATCAAATAGTGAGGCAGGCATTGTGGTATAGTAGGTTGGGCTGCCACTTGGGACCTGAATGTCCTGTATCAGAGTGTCTGGTCCCAGCTCTCACACTTCTAATCCAGCCCCCTTCCAATGCCTGGGGGACAGTAGATGGTGGCCCAAGTACTTGGGTTCCTGCCACCCATGTGGGAGCCCCAGATGGAGTTCCTGGCTCCTGGTTTTCCCTGGCCTAACCCCAGCTGTTGCAGGCATTTAGGGAGTCAACTGGTAGATAGAAGATCTCTCCCTCTCTCTCTGTCACTCTGCCTTTCAAATAACTAAATAATGTGTATGCACATATATGTGTTTATATATATTTAATATTTATGGATATATTTAATGAAAGATGTTCAAGACAGAATATGATAAAACATTGGTAAGATAAAGAAAACCTAAATAAATGGAGAGCTATGCCAAATTTGTGGATTGAAAAAGTCAGTGTTGTTAAGATGAGCTATTTCCCCAAACTGAATAGATTAATTACTAAAATCCCAACAGGCATTTTTGTAGAAATTAACAAACAGATTCTAAAATGCATTTGTAAAGCCAGAGGAGCTAGTGTAACTGTAACAGTCTTAAAAAGAACAAAGTGGGTAGACTGAGCCCTGCTTGATGCTGACCATAATAATCAAGAAAATGAGGCACTGACAAAAAGATGGACTGATCAGTCAAGGGAACAGCACAGAGAAGCCTGAGACAGATGTGGAAGGTTAAGGGGCTTTCAGCAAGGGCGTACAAGCTGAAGAAAATCTTTTTTTCTTTTTTTAAAGATATATTTATTTATTTGAGAGTTAGAGTTACAGAGAGAGGGAGAGACAGAGAGAAAGGTCTTCCTTCCACTGGTTCACTCCCCAAATGGCTGCAATGGCTGGAGCTGCACTGATCCGAAGCCAGGAGCCAGGTGCTTCTTCCCGGTCTTCCAAGGATTTGGGCCATCCTCCACTGCCCTCCCGGGCCACAGCAGAGAGCTGGACTGGAAGTGGAGCAGCCGGGATTAGAACTGGCACCCATATGGGATGCTGGTGCCACAGGCGGAGGATTAACCTACCGCACCATGGCACCACCTCAGGAAAATCTTTTTATCAAAGACTGCTGGGATAGCAGGGTGTCTATATGGGGGGAGAGAGAGAAAAAGAATGCCAGCCCCACCTCACACCATACACAGAAATCAGTTTGGAAAGTATCATAAACTAAAGCATAAAAGCCAAAATTATAAAGCTACTAAGGGAGAGCATTGGAAAATTTATAGAACTTGGAGATTTTACAGGAATCACAAACCATTGTAAAAATGGGGCAGTTGGGCTTTAAGAAAGCAATAGACAAGCCACAACCTGAAGAAAAATATTTGCAACACATTTCTCACAAAGGACTGAATATATAAAGATTCCTTGCACCTAAATATGAAAAAGATAATCCCACCCCAGTTTTTAAATGGGCAAAAGACTGGAATAGACAGTTCTCAGACAGTATATGCAAATGACCAATAAGCACATGAAAAAGTACTTAATGTCCTTAATCATCAAGAAAATGCTGGTGAAAACCATAATGAGATACTGCTATATACCCACTGGAATGGCTAAAATGAAAAATGATTGACAACACCAAGTGTTGGAGAGGATGTGGAGTAACCAGAAACCTCATCCATCACTGGTAGGCGTGCAAAAAAATGGTATGACTACTTTGGAAAATTATTTGGCAGTTTCTTAATGATAAAAAATTTTCCCATGACCCAGCAGTTTTACTCCTAGATAATTATCCAAGAGAAGGGAAAATAAATATCCACAAATAGCTCTGTACGAGAATCTTCATAGCAGTTCTGATCATGTTAGCTGGCAGCAGCCTAGATATTTATCAACACAAGGGTAGGTAAACAAAATGAAAATGTGATGTATTCAAACAATGGAATATTACTCAACACAAAAAAGAACTGCACACTGATAACACACAGCAACATAGCTGAATGTCAGAAATGTTATAAAATCCACAAACAAAAAAGTACATGCTATTTTTATATGAAATTCTAAGTAGGCAGACTGCTTATGGTCATAGAGTTGGATCCACAGTTGTTCCTAGGAACGGGATGTTGAAGGGAGATGTGGAAACATTCTGGATGGATGGACATGTTCTGCGTTTGTCTCAGAGTGTGGGTTGCGTGAGTGTGCGTTTGTCAGGACTCACTGAGGACAGTGCTCACGACCTGGACACTTTATCTCAAGTAAAAGAAGAAGGGACCAAGAGTGGTGACTGTGAAAGTTTGGTTGGAACAGGAAGTGGCTCTTCAAAGATTTTCAGTATGTTTCCTACAACTTAGAAAGGTTCGCAATAAAATGTTTCCTCTTTTCTTTCCCCCTTTTCAATCTTTCCTTCCCCCTTTGCAATCCTTCACTTTCCTTGAGGAGTTATATACCTACTAATTCAATTCCTCTTCCCCTCCACCAGTCCACATGACATCATTTTTATTTGGAAATATTTATTTTGTTTCTGTGCTGTGCCATATTGGATACCGGGGGGGCAGATGTCCTAACCTCATGGAACTACCAGACTCATGGCAGACAAACACAAAGCAAACAATGCCACTGCCACACATAACACATAACTGCAAGTGATTGTATGCAGTGGTGGAAAGCACAGGGAACTGAGACGCGTGCAGCAGTTCCTGATCTGCTCTGGTGTAAGGGATGCCCTCCGTGAAAGCTTTCACTTGGGCTGGGATTTGAAAACAAGTGGGAAAGAATCCAACCTCCTGGAAGCTGGAAAGAATCTAAAAACCAGAGCAGCCCAAGAGCTGCTGTTGCTGCCCCTGCTGCTGCCGCCCCTGCCCCAGGCTTGGATTTTAACTGTCATTAGGTTCTGTGGACCAAACCTTGGCCATGTGCAGAGTGGGGAGCTGGAAATGAGGCTCTCATGAGATAATTCCAC